TCCATCGGCACAATCAATGTCACTTTATTCTCATCAAACGTTAATTCTGCCCGCATTTCACACAACAGATCTCTTCCCAACAGAGGTAAGGGGCATTCCGGTATATATAAAAATTGGGGCCTGAGCCTTTTGTTTCCCAAAACGCAAGCCATTGGGTTTAAGAATTATGTAACCCTAACCCTAACCCTAACCCTGACATAAAAGCACTGACATACGTAACTTCTTCCCACTTCCCATTTCTTTTGCAAAACACATACAGCTGTAAAATGTCATTATATTTCAAACTGCCACTCAGTGGACACATTGCTCCATCCTCTAATTGGTGTAAAACTTCAAATTTTCTTTTGTCATGGGATCCCCTCCAAACTGTTTCCAGTGTTTAAGGGTGCATCCAAGAGAACCACATTCTCAAATCTTACTCTGCCCACCTCCAATTTTCTTATTGGCACCTTGGGTCGCCTCCTATGTTCTTTCTGATCCCTGAAACCTCAGCAAAGCCTCACAGGTGAATAAGCACTGGTCTTGGTGTCCGGATGCTGAAACGTCATCAGGCCAGCCCCAGTTGATCAGAGAATAGGTACAGGACTTATACCCATTCCAGATGAGGTGCTCACCAGATGAAGAGTGAGAATGCAGTCCTTCCCTGGCCCCTTCGGCCTTCCTTGCCATACTTCTTGGGTGTTGCACCTTTGAGTCTCCGATGTCACCCTTATGTCAGCCCAAACACCCAACTCTGGCTTATTTAGTGGCTCATAAACACTCACTCTCTCTTTTAGGAGGGCATGCGGATCTTAGCAGTCCCCCTTGCTTTGGGGTGGGGGTTTTGTTTTGCTCCTCTGGTAGTTCTTTGATTGGCATATGTTCACTGCTTGATTGTGTGCCTGGTGGTAACCTCTGCTTATCTGGGCGATGATTGCGGGTGATTGATTGCTGGTGAGGCGATCTTCTGACCTTTTGTCTCTTTTGAATGGTATGTAGATGCTGTTTATCTCTACAAAGCAGCAATTAACAGACACATAAACAGCATCTACATACCATTCAAAAGAGACAAAAGGCCAGAAGATCGCCTCACCAGCAATCAATCACCCGCAATCATCGCCCAGATAAGCAGAGGTTACCACCAGTTATACAATCAAGCAGCAAACATATGCCAATCAAAGAACTACCAGAGGAGCAAAACAAAACCCCCACCCCCACCAACACTGGCAGGGCGTGCCACTGTATATAAGCAAACCCCATCCCATTCTAGCACTGAAGATGTTACCTAGCTGGGTAATGAATGTTTGCAAGAAAAGAACCAAGCTCAGAGAATGCCAAGGACTCCACAGACATTGGCTGGCTGAGAGAAGATCTCAGTTTGGCCCTTTAGAAATGCCTCCATTTAGAGTTACAGACTTTCAGTGGAGACACACGAGTTCAGGATCTTAAGCAGTCATGAAGTCTCCAGGGAACACACGGCACACGGAGAGTCTCTGTTAACCTACAAACGCTTTATTATTTACAATTGCTTAAGCGTCACACGTGCACATGTGCATACACATGCATACCGCCTTGCCCTGCTACACCCAGGCTCAGGGAATTTTCAAGGATTGGGGAAGACAGGAGCTCTCTGTTGGTGATAGTTGCATGCATGGATTGGGGTCTTCTAACAGAGCCCTGTACCGCTTGTCCTTTTCTCCATTGCCAGAAGCATCCACCATGTATTGCTTTTCACATCATCTCAGCCCTTCACTGACCTGTTCGGTTGCTGGTCACATGTGACTTACTGCATGGCGAGTAACTGTTAACCTTCTTATCTCTGGTAGTTGTCCTCTGGTCCTTGTCTGGTCTTGATGGATTTTCTCCCTGGGACTGCTCCAGGGCGATTCTTCTTTGTGGTAGTTAGTAGCCAGACCTGGTGCAGAGGCTTCCTTCTTTGCTTTTCCTGAGTTGGATCTGTCTAGTTCCTTCTGAGTGACCCAAGCAGGATTTGAGCAGAGGTCCATCTGTCCACACTGCACATCTGCATCTGTCCTCAAACTCAATTCACCTGTTTCTCCCAATGTCTTATTTCTTGAACATTAACAATGGCATAAGCAAGCACGGTGACTGCAGAAAACTTTGTTCAATTCTGGACATTATACATTTCGGCATCACTGTTAGCCAAAGCAATTTCTATCATCTGCATGGCTTGGTGGACCTCTAGAGAACAACAGTAAGTCCACTGTGTAGCTGAGGAACCTTGGCAGCCTACAAACACTGCCTACTTTTCCATGGATCCCCAACCTCTCACACTGTCTAGATGCAGCTAACGTGGCAAGAGGGAGAAGATTTGGGGAGCACCGATTCAGACAGATCTGGATTTGACCATGTTCCTGCTTGGCAGAAATACTCTAATGATCTGTTCCCGAATCTCCTTGGTTCTCACTCCATACACAATGGGATTCAACATAGGAGGAAAGAGAAGGTAAAGGTTGGCCAGTAGGATATGAATGTGGGGAGCAACATTGTGGCCAAAGCGGTGGGTGAAAAAAGAGAAGAGTGCTGGGGTATAAGAGATGAAGATGACACAGAGGTGGGAAGCACAGGTGCCAAAGGCCTTGAACCTGGCTTCAATGGAAGAAAGGCGGAGCACTGCACGGACAATGAAGAAGTAAGAGAGGCCAATGCATAGAAAGTCCCCTCCAATGACGATCAGGGCCACACTTAGCCCGTAGGCACGGTTGATGCTGGTGTCTCCACAGGCCAACTTCACCACAGCC